GGCTGGGATTGCCTGCCCAGAGATCTCCTTTCGTACATTTTCCGGCCCCTGGTAGTTTAATTCATATATACAAACGCTGTCTTTGTATTTTCAAACCCTATACATCCGTAGCCAGGATTTCTTAGACTCCACAATCTTGTCTCTAATAGGGCAGATATGGAGGGGCGATTTTGAAATATATATAAATTATTTCTCAGTTTATATAAAAATTACAAGCTTTACAGCTTTTAGCATTTTACACACACCCACCTTCAAAACTTTTCAGCCACTTTTGGACTGTAACCTCCCATTTTTGGGGGGACTCTGCCTGTACCAGCTCATCTCTGACAAATTCAGTGCCGCAAAGAGCCCAGCAGGGATCAGGAATTTCACTCTCCTGCAGGCAGATCTCTATAGATACACACACACACACACACACACACACACACACACACACACACACACACCTGTAAGCGATATGCTCTGGAGAAACACAACAAACTTGTCGGGAAGGCCTCACCTGTCACTGGCATCTTCTGGTTTGCATTCCAGATTTGGCTTTCAGGTGAAATGTTTGGTGTTCCCAGCTCAAGTGAACCAGTAACCTGCACCTGGGTCTAGCCGTGTCTATTCCAGCCACCCTGCTGAGAGCCTTTGTTGTTTAGCATTACACAGGCGAGGAAAAGGTGAAGACCTCCTAAAATAAAATGCCTTGACCTATTAGCTCAGACTGGGCTGTGTTGTGAGGTGTGGTTTAGGTGTGCTTTTTTTTTTAATGTGGAATTGTTTGTTAATTTGTCTGATTTTGGTTTTGTTTTGTGCTTTGTTGTGGGAGGTTTCACTTTCTTCATGGTTCTTATTGCTGATTTTTTAGCTGTGTTGTGTTGGCTGTTACTTAATTTTTTTCTTTTTTTGTGTTTTTTGTCAATTGTTGTGTTGCTTTTTATGATTTGTTGTGATCTTGTGTTTTTAGTGTGTATTGATTTGATTTGTTGGGTTTGGTTTTTTGGTTTTGTAGAAATTTGGTTAATTTTAGTTTTTTTCTTGTGTTTTGCGCTTGTTTGAGTTTATTCGTTGCTTTTCTTGATTATTTTTGAGTCTATATTTTTTGTTTGGCTTTTTTTGTGATTTTTTTCATGTTTTTATGGTGATTTTTTGGGGTGTTTCTTGGTTTCTTTTTTTGTTTTGTTTCACTTGTATAGTATTTTTCCAAAATTGTCTTTGTGTTTACGTTTGTTCTAAATGACACATTAAGAAAATCATCAATAGTCAGTAATAATAAGTAATAAAATTTCACTGTGCAGTAATTCAGAAATTACATAGACCTGAAGATTGTTATTTGGAAGTACAGGACCTTGAAAAGTAGTTGTAAATCAATAATGAAGCAGTAGGATAGTGAAGAAGTTTAGTGCTTAAGATGCAAATATAAAATCAATAGGATAGGAAATTCTAACCCTAACCCCTAACTCTAACCCCTAACCCTAACCCACTTGGAGGGCTCAGTAGCGGTTTGGCAGGACAAAAACTCAGTTTGGAACATAGACCTGAAGATTGTTATTTGGAAGTACAGGACCTTGAAAATAAGAGTAGTTGTAAATCAATAATGAAGCAGTAGGATAGTGAAGAAGTTTAGTGCTTAAGATGCAAATATAAAATCAATAGGAAATCCTAATCTAACCCTAACCCCTAACTCTAATCCCTAACCCTAACCCACTTTGGAGGCCTCAGCAGCAGTTTGGTGGGACAAAAACTCAGTTTGGAGTGAGAAGATGCATCTTTGAAGCTTCAGGAAGCAACTTTGCAGGCCCCAGACCCAGTCTGGAGAGATGAAATCCCTGACTGGATGGAGGAGATTCCACTTTGAGGCTGTGGGAACCCACTTTACAGGGCTCAGCAGCAGTCTGGGGAGTCAAAATCCCAGTGTGGAGGAAGAAGATGCAAGTTTGAGGCTGCAGGAACACACTCCACAGGGCTCAGCAGTAGTGTAGGGAGATGAAATCCAGGTTTGCAGGGAGAAGATGCCAGTTTGAGGCTGCAGGAATCCACTTTGCAGGGCTCAGCCCCAGTCTGGAGAGATGAAATCCCAGTTTGGAGGGAGAAGATGCAAGTTTGAGGCTGCAGGAACACACTTTGCAGGGCTCTGCAGCAGTCTGGGGAGATGAAATCCCAGTTTGGAGGGAGAAGATGCAAGTTTGAGGCTGCAGGAACACACTTTGCAGGGCTCTGCAGCAGTCTGGGGAGATGAAATCCCAGTTTGGAGGGAGAAGATGCAAGTTTGAGGCTGCAGGAACACACTTTGCAGGGCTCTGCAGCAGTCTGGGGAGATGAAATCCCAGTTTGGAGGGAGAAGATGCAAGTTTGAGGCTGCAGGAACACACTTTGCAGGGCTCTGCAGCAGTCTGGGGAGATGAAATCCCAGTTTGGAGGGAGAAGATGCAAGTTTGAGGCTGCAGGAACACACTTTGCAGGGCTCTGCAGCAGTCTGGGGAGATGAAATCCCAGTTTGGAGGGAGAAGATGCAAGTTTGAGGCTGCAGGAACACACTTTGCAGGGCTCTGCAGCAGTCTGGGGAGATGAAATCCCAGTTTGGAGGGAGAAGATGCAAGTTTGAGGCTGCAGGAACACACTTTGCAGGGCTCTGCAGCAGTCATGCAAGTTTTGCAGGAACACACTTTGCAGGGCTCTGCAGCAGTCTGGGGAGATGAAATCCCAGTTTGGAGGGAGATGATGCCACTTTGAGGCTTGAGGAGCACACTTTGCAGGGATCAGGAGCAGTCTGGGGCTCTGCAGCAGTCTGGGGAGATGAAATCCCAGTTTGGAGGGAGATGATGCCACTTTGAGGCTTGAGGAGCACACTTTGCAGGGATCAGGAGCAGTCTGGGGAGATGAAATCCAGGTTTAGATGGAGAATATGCCAGTTTGAGGCTGCAGGAACCAGTTTGGAAGGCTCAGCATCAGTGTGGGGAGATGAAGTCCCAGTTGAAGTGAGAAGACTGTTAGACATTTTAAGAGTTTCTTACTTCTACTCTGCATGGAAACAATAGCATTCCTCCTCTTTCTGTGATTGCTTCCACTGGGAGGCTCTGTACAATTTCTAGGTCAGATCTCGTGGGACACCGAAGGTAAATAAAGAGTTTTTATCTGTGTTGGTATAAATAATGCAACTGACATAACAGTCTACACTTCATCTGGACCAAATCGATCATATTCTCCAGGATCAGTAAGGCTGTGGATTCCACTCTGAATTCCCATTACGGAAGGTTGAGAACAATTTTGGTTTTATTAGCACAGGCTAAGCCATTCCTATTTTTTTGAAGGAGGAATCAGAGTTAGCTATGAACTGACCAGACCCAGAATTATAATTCACTTGCACTCTCGCTGTGTGTGGGATGTTCTGTGCACCTTTTATCTCAAAAAGTTTTATGTAGATGTAAGTTTCCTCAGAGCTAGGCACAGAATCCTCTAATGGGCTCTTTCAGATTGGAGGGTTTGGAGGGTGTTTTTAATACCAAATTGAATATATCCTTGTGGTACTTTGCATTTCCCTCACTGTTCATGGGACATACGTAGTATAACTTTGGAAATGTTTAGATGTAGAAACTAAAGCATTGGCAATGTGAATGTCTATCCATCTATCATAACCTATCATTTCTTTATAGTGGATGCACAATACGATAGCATGATTCACCTGGCTTACTTTAGACCTGTGTCTGAGCTGAGACAGGACTCGTAATGCATATTTATCTCCATGAAGATTAAAGTAAAAAGCATGCTTTCATTTTTAAAAGGAAAATTCAGAATTGAGGGGATAAATTTCACAAAATTCGTTTCTAAAATCCCAGCAACAAAATGCCTGAACATTTACGTATCTTTAAGTGGTGGTGTAACATATTGCTATGAATTTAAACCTGTGTAGTTAGGTTTCATTGTATTCATTTATTGCAGGTGGATAAGGCTCATCTTTCTCCTACAGAATGGCTAGGAGCAATGAAACCGAAGTCATGTATTTCATTCTCCTGGGTTTTCCCACCACTACTGAACTGCAGCTGCTTCTCTTCTCTGCTTTACTTCTGGCTTATTTATTAACTGTGTTGGAAAACTTCCTTGTCATTCTCATCATCCATACTAACCAGAGTCTGCAAAAACCTATGTATTTCTTCCTAGGGAATCTGTCTTTCTTGGAGATCTGGTATGTTTCTGTCATTGAGCCAAAGATGCTCATAGATGTCCTCTCTCAAGACAAACATATCTCATTCCAGGGGTGCATGACACAGTTGTATTTCTTTGTGACTTTTGTTTGTACTGAGTATATTCTGTTAGCTGTTATGGCCTATGATCGCTTCCTGGCCATATGCAAACCCCTCAGGTATCCACTCATCATGAATCATCAGTTCTGTGCTCATTTGACAACTGGCTGTTGGATGTGTGGTTTGACCACTTCTTCCATCAAGATGAGCTTTATAGGTCAGCTCTCCTTCTGTGATGTAGCCAAAATTAATCATTATTTCTGTGATATTTCGCCCCTACTGAACGTCTCCTGCAGCGATTCCTCTTTGGCTGAGCTCGTGGACTTCATCTTGGCTCTGATGGTCATCATGGTACCTCTGTGTACCGTGGTGGCCTCCTATATTTGCATCATGTTCACTGTGTTGAAGATCCCTTCTTCTCAGGGGAGGCAAAAGGCCTTTTCCACCTGCAGCTCCCACTTGACTGTAGTGATATTGTTCTACTCCACCACTCTTTTCACTTATGCCCATCCTAAGCTCATGTATACCTACAAGGCTAACAAGTTGGTATCAGTCCTGTACACAGTTGTTGTGCCACTTCTGAATCCTCTCATATATTGCCTTAGAAACAAAGAAGTCAGGTTTGCCCTGAGAAAGACCTTTACTTGCACAAGGCACACCTAAGAAATCAACTAATGACTTCTGGAGAAGAGGCTTTGCTCATGAACTAAATGCTCATGAACAGACCATGCCGAATCCATGCCGAAGTGAAACTCTCCTATTCGTGCACACAGTGCTCATATTTATTGAAGTAGACCTTAACATATCTAAGGTAGTCCTATGTCTATACTACAGCTTTGGGTTAAGAGGGTTGGGGTGATTTTTTTGCTTGTTTCCCCCCTAAGATTCTGTGCTGTCACCCTTTCTTAGAAGTCTCCAGATGATTGCTCCAGTTTTAAAGAGAAGGTTTGGCAATGCTAGAAACTGACACCAGACTTATTTGCCCTAGAGAGATTACTAGGTCCAGAAAACATTGTAAAATGCATGTAAAAAAAAAAAGGTATCTACATCTGATTTATTTGCTCTGAGGTTCTGTTATTATCCCTTGAAAGAAACAGGCAGTGGAAAAGGACAAGTAATTTTAACATTCTTAGACACCTGATGCAGGATAAAATGAACTGTCCTCTGGAGGAGACTTTTCTAATACAGCAGTAGAGGGAGTATAGTGTCAGCAGCCCGTGCTACTCACATGGTACAGCTGCACTGGCACTTGGCCTCTGTTTCTGGTTCACAACAGGACCCTGAATAATCTTATTGCACACCAAAGAATTTGCTCCATGTATAAATTCAGACATAACTCTGTTGTGCCTGCAGGCTGCATGAGCCTTGGATCCAGCAGTATTCCAGCAGGAGTCATGATCTTATGAAGAAGTCCAGAGACAGAGCTGATGCATCTGTGTTAAATTACTGACCATCTCTGAGAAAATCTGATTATCAGTTAGAAGTCTCACTTGGTAAAATGGTGCCTCTAAGAAGACTGCTCTGTGGTCAGAATATCACAGTGCTTCAAAATTTTCATTGTTCTGTAAAAACAAATGCACAAATAAATCTGTCAGCTGAGTGCATCTCTATATGATGTTAAATGTCAGTTTAAGACTGAGACCATGGTTTCTGATATTCCCTGCTCTGTACTAGCTTTTTGCCTTTTCAGATCTTGCAATTCATGAAACGTAGCTTTCCAGGAAAGAAACCTTAAGGCACTTGCTGGGAGAACTTGTGTGTGTGTACTGTTGTCACAGATACAACTGATTCAAACAGCCCTTTTTGAGAACTTGAGCACAATGTTATGGAGAAGTGTCAAGAACAGCTTTAAGTTAACCTCAATGGGGAGCATTCAGCAGAAATGTAAGGTGCTGCCTGTATTCCAAGTATTAGCAGAAAATTTGCTATGAGAAAATAGGTAACTAACACAATATGATTATACATATTTCCTTTTGAAAAGGAGCCAAAAAATCCAGTAGTTCTTCAGTTTTGCACTTGAGATTGGGAGCCACAGATATAGCTTGATATGCATTCCTCCAAAAGTACCTAAAAGTTAGACACTGAAGTCTAACATCTGATTAGACATCTAAGCAAACTACCCTAGGCTCCTTTACTACCCATGGACATGGATTATCACCCTAGAGGATATTTATTCTATTTATCTGTAACATATGCCTTTACATTCAGTCATCTCCAGGAAAACAGGGATCACAAGTAACTGTTAGTTGAGAAGGTAAATGCCATCACTCTGGACATCCTCTCTGCCTCCTTCCTTTCCCCACTTTTTATTGCTGAGCATGATGCCATATGGTCTGGATTATCCCTTTGGTCAGCTGACCCAGCTGGGTTCCCATACAGTTCGTGCCCCATGTTCGAGTTTGGGCTGGAGTAGAGTTGACTTTCAGTGGCCAGTATGGGTCTATGTTTTGGATTTGTGCTGAGCACAGGGTTCGTAATGCAGAGATGTGTTTGTTCTTGCCGAGCAGTGCTGACACAGAGCCAAAGCCCTTGCTGCTTTTCATCCTGCCAGGCTGGCAAGGAAGTTGGAGGTGCAGGGGAGACTGGGAGGAGACACAGCTGGGGCAGGTGACCCAAAGGGATATTCCATACCATAGGTCATCATGCTCAGTATATGAAGTCGGAGGAAGAAGGAGACAGAGGAGGACATTTGGAGTGATGGTGTTTGTCCTCCCAAGTCACTGTTACCCGTGCTGGGCCCTGCTCTCCCAGAAGTGCTGAACACTTCCTGCCTGTGAGGAGCAGTGAATTAATTCCTTGGTTTGCTTTGCTTGCATGCTTGTCTTTTGCTTTCCCTATTAAAATGTCTTTATCTCAACCTGTGAGTTTTCTAGCTTTTACCCTTCTGATATTCTCCCCCAGCCTGTTGGTAGGCAGTGAGTGGGTGGCTGTGTGGTGTTTGGTGACTGCCTAGGGTTAGAACACCACAGCCTTTTTTGGGGCCCAGCATGGGGCTCAAAGGGTTCAAGAGACCCAAAGGTCCATACCATAGGTCATCATGCTCAGTATATGAAGTCGGAGGAAGAAGGAGACAGAGGAGGACATTTGGAGTGATGGTGTTTGTCCTCCCAAGTCACTGTTACCCGTGCTGGGCCCTGCTCTCCCAGAAGTGCTGAACACTTCCTGCCTGTGAGGAGCAGTGAATTAATTCCTTGGTTTGCTTTGCTTGCATGCTTGTCTTTTGCTTTCCCTATTATCATGCTCAGTATATGAAGTCGGAGGAAGAAGGAGACAGAGGAGGACATTTGGAGTGATGGTGTTTGTCCTCCCAAGTCACTGTTACCCGTGCTGGGCCCTGCTCTCCCAGAAGTGCTGAACACTTCCTGCCTGTGAGGAGCAGTGAATTAATTCCTTGGTTTGCTTTGCTTGCATGCTTGTCTTTTGCTTTCCCTATTAAAATGTCTTTATCTCAACCTGTGAGTTTTCTAGCTTTTACCCTTCTGATATTCTCCCCCAGCCTGTTGGTAGGCAGTGAGTGGGTGGCTGTGTGGTGTTTGGTGACTGCCTAGGGTTAGAACACCACAGCCTTTTTTGGGGCCCAGCATGGGGCTCAAAGGGTTCAAGATCAAGACAGATGTGATTGGGATGTGCTGGATTGCGTTTATAGACGTTAATGCTTTTCACCTGGCAATGAGCACATTCCTGTGCTTTCCATGGGGCTCACTTTTTACTTTCCTGAGTGTATATTAAGAGTCTAATGCTCATTAGTGGTTGATTTTTGCTTTTGCTGCTTGCTGTATTCCTTATCACCCTGCTGTATTGTGCCTGAGAACACTTTGATAATAGCCATGGGGATGTGCCTGGGCTGGCAGAGGGCCAGGGCTTTGATAATGTTTCTGTGCTGCTGTACTGGGCCGGCTGGAAGTCTGGTGTGAACTTGAGTTGAACAGACTGTGACCTGATAACGCGTCCACAGTGGAGCCGAGATTCACCTACATGGAGGACCTCACGCCAGAGAAGGTGGGTGCCTGAGGGAGGATGGGACCCATAAGAAGCTCATGCTGGAGCAGGTTTGCTGGCAGGACTTGTGACCTCACAGGGGACCCATGCTGAAGCAGTTTGTGAAGCACTGCGGCCATGGGAAGGATCCACATTGGAGGAGTTCAAGGAGGACTGTGTCCCATGGGTGGGACCCCACGCTGGAGCAGGGGAAGTGAAGATTCCCTTGCAGACCGTGGTGAAGCAGCTGTCCCTGCTAATGGGGGACTCTAGCAGGGGCCCCTTGCTGCTAGCCAGGCTGGGAACAAGGGAAGGAGTTTGTTGCAATGTTACACCAGATAACCTGGTCCAAAAGTGGAGACTGTAATGGATGTGCATTTAAATTGCTTAAGCTATGGTTTGAGTTGTGTGTTACAGGAATTACTAGACCAGGAGCCACCTGACCAGTGGAGGAGAAACTGTAAAAGAAGCAGTTGCAGCACAGCTGCAACATGACCTGAGGTGGCTTTGATGCATAGTAACTCCCCACACACAGCTCTTCTGTACTGGGCAACCACCAGAACAGATGGAGCCCAAAGTCATGGACTAGATGAATTCAACAGACATTTTGTGGACATTTTATGGACCCTTTGCAAGGCAGTCCATAGACTAAGGGAACAGTATCTGTGTGTTATATCAAAGAATGGGAAGGGGATGGTGGTTAATGAAGTTGTGTTCAATAGTGTGGGACCTGAGCACGATGTAAATGGGTGGAAGGGTGGAATATGCTGATTTTGGGGCAGAGTTAACTTTCTTCCCAGTGGCTAGTATGGGGCTATGTTTTGGATTTGTGCTGGGCACAGGGTTGGTAACACAGAGATGACCTTAATGGGGAAAGGCATCGAGGGCAAAGCTTACTTAGTTTTTTCAGCTTGGAGAAGAGAAAGCTGAGAGGTGACCTCACTGAAGTCCACAACTTCCTCAACAGGGGAGGGAGGGGAGGTGCTGATCTCCTCCCTGGTAACCACTGACAGGACACAGACAAAGGGAATGAAGTTGTGCCAGGGGAAGTTCAGACTTGACCTTAGGGAAAGTTTCTTCACTGAGAGAGTGTCATGAATGAATTGTTTGAGCCACTTAAAAAATCACCATCGGCGGTATTGGCTTAAAGCAGGTTTTAATATATATTTGGGAAAGTGCAATTGAACAGAGTTCAATGGCAAGGGTCAGTCTGGTACTTACTGCAGAGGTACAGTGCACACAAGAAAATCAGATCAGCCCAGGCCTCAGCACAACTGATGGCCTTCGGAGTGCCACAGATCGAGGATTCCTGCGCTCCCAGAGGTGCTCACTCTGAGGGAGGTGCTGGCACAGCCCCTGCAGCCCAGGAGAGCTCCAAGGGCCTTACAGGACTGGTGTTTATAGGGTCACAAGATGATTGGGTTTGGCCCTCAGTAAGTTTCCATCCTGGCCATATCCTGTGTTTGTAACTACTGGACTGTTTTTTTCCCAAAAGCCCAGTACCAATGGTACTGTTCCACTCCGGCTATGGTTTGGGTAAATGATTTCCCAAGGCTGACAAGGATAACTCCTGGAGAGCCTGTTCCAGTGACCAATCTGTGGGCATGACACCAAGCTTGTCAGGGTCAAAGGAGCATCATAGGATTTAGTTTTAGCTAATCCTGCAAGGAGTAGGGAGTTGGACTCAACAATCTTTATGGATCCCTTCCAACGTGAGAGATTTTATGATTCTGTAGTTCCACCTTGTAATGAAACTAAGTTGATTACAGAGTGAATATCAGGGGCGAGATAAAAATGCCTAAGGCTTGATTTACTTCTTCCCAAAATAAACAATACAAGTAGGTTGGCCAAATTGCTCACTAGAAACGCTCATCAATTACACAGGAATCCTCTAGGTGACTTACTCTGCTGCTGTAGATATCTACACCTGGATAGACAAATTCTGTCACTTGTACCTACCGTAAGACTGTCCACATTGCCTTTGATTTTTAATTGATAGTTGTCTTCCAGTTCCAGCTTTCAGTGACCTACCTCTGCTGTATGAAAAGACAAAGCTTGACTACAAGCTAGATCAACCAGTGACTTGCACAATTCTCCCTTTGTGGAGAAGCAGTCGACTCATTCAGGAGCAGAGTGGTATAAGGGTCAAACAGCAGAGGTATCAACAGTCAGAGATTCAAGTGTAAGCTGAAACCTTGAATCAACATGTGTGTTACCTGATTTTATCTGTTTACATCTGGACCAGAAGTTCAGTAGTAATTCTATAAATGCTTCATACCTACCAGCTCATTTCTGCAGAGATACAGAATTTGAATAGTAGAACTTTATAGCGCAGCTGGGTTAATTCTTTTACACAGTGAAGTTCTCCTCAAAGTTATTCCATAAAGGTTTTAGCATCACCCTAAGGCTTTCTGATAATTAGAAGAAAATGATTTGAAGTATGCTTAATGTATATTTCTACATAATGTACAGGATGAAGTTGTTCCTAAGCAAATTGCATCAACAACAAAACAAAACTTACAAGGCTTTCACATAGCTACTTCAAACTACTGTTTTTCAAATTTCCACACCAGGGCATGTGTTTGCTGAGCATCTTCCATATAGAGCCTTTGATCTCCTTGTTACACAGGGTATAGATCATGGGGTTAGTCAAAGGGAAAATGACTGTATGGAAAACAGCAACAACTTTTTCCATTGGAACAGTCTGGAAAGGTAATCCATAGACATAGACACCTGGAGCACACATGACAAAAACCACAATGATGTGGGAAACACAGGTGGAAGTCACTTTGGAGGACTGTATCCGGAGCTTCAGCAGCAGCAGAGTGTAGGAAAGGAGGAGAAGTGTAAAGCACAGAATCGCAAGAACTCCATTGTTGAGGTACATCAACAGCTCCACTATGTAAGTGTTGGCACAGGCCAACTTGACCAGCTGATGGATGTCACAGAAGAAGTTGTCCAGGATGTTGGGACCACATAAGGGGAGGTGGATGCTGAGAGCAAGTAGAATGATGCCATGGATGAAGCCCCCAGCCCAAACAGCTCCAACCAGGACACAGCACACTCCCCTGCTCACAAGCCTGGAGTAGTGCAGAGGTTTGCAAATGGCTACATAACGGTCATAGGCCATGGCTGCAAGCAGAAAAGCTTCAGCAGCTCCCAGGAAGTGGAGGAAGAAAAGCTGTGCCATGCAGGCACCATAGGAGATGGTCTTAGGGTGTGAGAAAAAGTCAGCCAACATTTTGGGGGGGGTAACAGAACAGTAACAGATATCCAAGAATGCCAAATTGGCCAGGAAAAAATACATGGGTGATCCCAGCTGGGAATCCCCTCAAATTGCAAAAATGGTGAGGGCATTGCCTGGCAAAATGATCATATAGAAAAACAGGAAGATGAAGAAGAGAATCATCTGAACTTCATGGCTTTGAGACACTCCCAAGAGGATAAACTCTGTAACCACTGTATAGTTTTCATGCTCCATTTTCACTCTGCAGAACCCTGAAAGACAGTAATCATGGGAAAAACACCAAAAACAGATGAGTACAAAAATGTTTAAACAGTTTAGGGCATATTTAGATTGCCTAAAATGTCCTTTTCCCATTTCCAGGTCTCAGGGTACTCCTAATGGTAAAATACTTCGAAAACCTGTAATTCAGATTCCCACTGCCTTGAGCCTTTTACTGAAAATGTAAATTGGAAATGTTCACATTTCGTCCGATGCTTTTGTTATTTTTGTGCCCTGGAAAAGGGCACCTGGATGGATTTTAGGTCCGAAGACATCAGTCCGTTCTGCCACAGGGAGGCTAAGTTCTGTGATTTATCTGAACTAGTCATGTCTACTCCCTCTCCAGCTGGCCAAAGCAGTTCCTTCCAGGGCAAAGAGATTTCATTCTAGAGTACAAAGCTAAACAGAGCTAAACAAAGTCTACTCTAAAATTACACAATTAACCTAAATCACATCCTCTGATAATAAAAACCCCAAGTTTATAGATCACTCACATCTGAAAGAAGGTTTATGGATCCCTCAGGTGAATTCATCTGACAGCTGCAAAGTTGTTTGCAATTAAAATCTTTAAAATCCCTTTTTATTTCAGTCAGTACAGTCAGCCCAGGGAACGGCTAATTCCATCCTGAATTTTTTCTATTACGCATCAGTTGAAGATTTTTCCAAAATATTCCCTTTTCCTCAGTTGTCCTTTAGGGTAGCTCAGGTTGTCCTGATCACATTCAGCCTTTCATCTTTTTCCAGACAAACCCTGCAGAGGCTGTGAGGCTGAGGTGTCGGATTTTCCAGTTAAGTCAACAGAGCACGGGACAAATAAACCCCCACAGTTACCTAAATATCTCTCGAAATAAACCCAGCATGGGTCAGTGTGATGGCAGGATGGGAAAAAGCTTATATCAAATAATTTTGTTCACATTTTGAATAGAACCGTGGATGGTGCCAGGTCCCTCATGAAAAAAGAAAAACAAATTGTTCAGATTTCTTTTAAAAGTCCATTTGTCTAAATTATTTCATTCCTTCTATTTCTTCTTTTGTGTCAGGAGAAAATCATGTAAGTTTTTGTCTCCAGTTTTTTAACTCTTTTCTTCCATTTTGCTATAAAGATGAAATTTCTGTCTGCATGATGTCATCTGCACGTTACTGCACTGGCAACTTCACCAGCAATGCTGAGGTAGACAGAAGAGCACACTGCAAATGCTTTAGGGGGGAGAAAATTCTCAGACCTGTAAGGAATATTTAGTTTTAGAACAGTTTTAGTTTCATTCCCTTAGAGAGACCAGTGAGAAATGAAATCCATCTTGACAGTGGAAACAAAAACATCCAACATAAAAACATATATGGGAAGAGAAAGTGATAAGAAGCAGTAAAATTCAGACTAAGTAAAAGTAAAAAGAGAAAAGTAAGAAAATAATAAAAACAAATAAGAGGAAAAAAACCTCCTTATGTCACTTTCTGCTTGTCTTAATCTTTGTCAAGAGTCAAAATTCCATGTCATGCCTTGTGCTTAAAACATTTCTTGACATTCTTTTTTTTTTTCCATCTCCTTGTTCCATCCACAGACAACTGAAGGGCTCGTTGTGCTGCAAGTGGGTATAAACTGTCTGATATTTAATTTCTCAGCTGCCTGTGAACCCTTACCCTTCTGCTGGCTGCAGCCTTGCTCCAGTGCCAGCACCAGCACCAGAGGTGCCCAGGCTGTACGTGGCCTGAGCTGCCTCACTCATCACCTGCTGACAGAGGAGAACATTGTGTGCCAGAGGCTGGAGGAGAGTTTGTCTCTTTGCCCCCTCTAGATACTGCTCTCATCTCTTCAGGGTGTGCTGGTTGTTTCTGGCTCCAAGGGTGAAGGTTACAGCACTGTGGCATCAGCTGTGGCTCTGAAGTGCTCACTTGGATGCCCAGGGGAGCTTAGGAAAAGCTCCAAGGTGTAAGGATTTATTTATAATTATTGGTTAGTATTTCTGAACTTTTTATTCTAACATACATTATTCCCCGACCAGATGACCTCTAGAGACACATTAGAGCCTATTTTTTAAATGGAAATCTTTGCTTCTGGGAAACAAATGCACCCCACAACCTCTGACTTCCCTTGTTCCATTGACATTCTCATCTGGGAATGCACAGGATGGAAAGCCATCACCTAGAATTCTCCAGATCACTTAATTTTTCTATGCTTTAAGAATATTCAGGACGAGTTCTCCATATGCCACTGACAAGGATACATACTTTCAAGAAGGGTAAAAGAAATAAATTCAACTACTTCCCCCACCCTGCCCCTCCTTCCCTCCCTCCCTCCCTCCCTTTCTTTCTTTGATTTTGGATGTCTCTTTCTTCTTGGAGCACAGATTAAAACATCTTTAAGAGGCATGAATTTAAAAGCTTTAACCATTTGAAGTGCAATGTCCATTAGAGTCGGTCAGGCTAATCACACTATTGTTACTGTATTAGAGTAATTAAGCTTTTTTTTTTTTTTTTTGAAAAAGAAATGTTTATTGCCTTTTCAAGGACTGAAACAATAAAACAGTTCTCTCTTTACAGAGGTGAAAGTAGATTAGCTCCCTGGAGCAAAATCTGTAGAAGTGCAAATGAAGTTTCATTAACTCTGTTTCTCCAGTGTTTTAATCACAAAAAAAGGTTCCAATTATACACAGACAAGTTCCCTGGAGGGGACTAAACAAACACAACATTGCCAAATGCAATTAACCACTTTGTATTAAGTTGTTGTTGTGAAGTTTGTGAAGTCAGGCAATTACTTCATCCTGAGATGACTTACATTGCCTTTCTCTTTTCCAAGCAAACTGAAATAAAAAATAAACACTATACTGAATTATATGCTTTAGAAATTTACACTCTCCTGTTACTTTTATTCAACCCCTTTATTTACACATTTTCCACAAGTCAGGGATCAGAACACCATCAGTCCTATCTTGGGACACAGCATCCTGTCTGTAGTAAAGCTGTGAACATGTCCTTTCGAGAAATCTGAGCTTCACTACCTTTAGAATTGCCTCAGGTATCCCGATTTCCTGCACTTCCCTTGGGGCTCCATTCTCCAAGGTCGCCTAATTGCTGAACTTTCTTGATTACCATATGAAGGGGGTTCCCTGTCTCATTGATCAGGAGGACCATTATCACATTCTTATAGGCCGGTGGGGCAGTCTTAACCAGCCTGTTTCTTACACTAACTGTCAAAGCATCCTGCACCATGGTGTCAGCATCTCTTACCTCAATAGCTACTTTCATCCCTTTTAATCCTCTGCCACATCCTTCCTCACTTACTCTCCACCTTTTCCCAGTTATGAGATGCCACTGCACACAACTCGCTGCTGCAATCACTGAGTGCACTTTCTTATGATTCACTCTTCCCCTCCATTTCTTTCCTATGTAACTCACACAGGAGCTTTCTCCATTACAGTATGATAAGTGTCCGGTTTATCAACAAGCAGCTTTTTAGGCATGGTAACATCACAATCTGATTTTGTAGATCACATATTTGTTACCCATCTGGGAGCATTTTGACAAGCATTGTTCTTTCTGTTGGTGCTGTTTTCAATATACATGCAGTTCACAAAATCTATCCCCATCCTCTCAAACCCACAAGTTCTTTTTTCTTTTATTTTTTTTAAAGCTAACACGAATGAGTCTTCTGGGGGAACGTTAATGCCACATTCCCTCTGCCACTCGGGCTTAGCTCTTAAAGAAAAAAAGCACATCAACATACATCACCGTGATCCCAATGCTCAGTTCCACGCCAAAAGTCATAAAGCCTTAAGAGCTACCGAAGGGGACTCGAACCCCTCCCCAAGTGGGATTTTAACCCACGGAGGGGACTCTAGCCCCCACCCCCAAGTACCAACTCAGGAATGTCACCTGTGGCACAGCGCCCTGCCTGAGATTACGGAAACCCAAATAACCTAGGCTCCAAACCCAAAACAAACAAAACCAAAACCAAACAAACTATAAACATAAACAAATAACTTCGCTTTCAAGCAGTCACTCCTTGTCTGCTCCCGCAGGGAGCCGGTGAAGTTAGGAGTCCATCCGAGAACTCTCGGGGCATGCCAAGGGAGTCCCAGACTCCAGCGGATCCTGCAGCCGAGCAGAGATGCTCTGCCACAGTCACCAAACGGATGCTGAGAAAAGTCTGGAAAAGAACTACTCACTGACTTGTATCTCTGAGTAGCAGGGATTTGTTTATTCAGTGCTGGGCAAAAGGGGGATTGTTCTGCCAAACCTGTGCACCTGTAATAGAACCTTTCTTTGTATTTAATCTCTTAGGGTGTTACATATACATTAGGTTGCTTAGTCCGCCTAGACATATGTAGTTAAAGTTTGACAGGAAGGAAGGAAGGAAGGAAGGAAGGAAGAACAAGAAAAAACCAGATTTGATTGGAATTGCTGAATTAAAATTGTACCTAGCACCCACCTTAAAAGAATTGGTTGACAAGTACAGAAACTCTACCTGACTTCCTGTATGGCATCCCCAGGAAATGCAGGTACCAAAGAACACTTGTGTCTGCCTTGGAAAGAGCCTTGGATTGTAGGAAAGAGACACACAGCCTGAACTCTCCCTTTGCCTACAGCCACTAGTGGAGTGGGAAAAGCTGTGGAAATCATTGCAAATGCTGAAAAGAAGAGGCTGACATTCCTCCAGGGAACATAACAGGTGTGAGATGAGGGCACTGCCTGTCTGAAAGAGCCTTGTGGTCTAGTGTCAGGGGAGGGAGAGGTGGAAGCAAGTTCTAATCTGTTGTATGTGATCTATCAGGTGTCCCTGCCCATGGCAAGGGATTGCAACTAGATGATCTTTAATGTCCCTTTCAACCCAAACCATTCTATGAACTCTGTAGCAGTGGAAGGATGTGCCTAGATTCACTTTGCTGAAGTTCAGATTTTTAAAAGCCATCTGGTACACTTGACTCCACACATGGCAAGGTACAGGCCATGTGTCATTGTTTTCATGTAAGTTAGCCTCCAGTTCCTGCTCAGGTTCTGGTCCTGTGAGCACCTACAGATCATGGCTGCATGTTCAGCCTCTGCTTTGCAGCACATCAAACAATTACATTCAAGACAGGATTTCTCTGATGCTCAGAGCAGTCAATTCCTGTGTCTCAGCCAGACTTGCACCTGCCTATGGAACCTGCTGACCTGGACCTGGGCCCATGGACTGACTTCCCAACTGAAAATCAGACTTTTCTCATCACTATGGGCTTGTCTGACCACCTAGAACACTAGTGCTTGAGGTTGTGGGTCTCCCATTGGCCTTGTGCCTTAGCTGCTCTGATCAGTGATTTCTGATACCCCAAGGGCACCTCTCATGGCACTCAGTCCCTCTGGTAAGAACCAGGACCTCTGCCTGGCCCTGGGCAGCTCTCACCATTGTTATCAGGGGACAAGGGGAATAAAAAGAAAAAAAATACCCCAGTCCTAACCAAACCACATGCAGGATCCAAGGAGGTTCTCCAAAGGCCTCAAACAGGATATGCACTCAAACCCATTCCTCTCACTGCCACCTGCATTCTAGGCACTCTGGGTACTCTGAAGGAGCTGAGATCTTTGCAGTTGTTGGAGGAGGTGGACTAAGGCCAGAGAACGTGTCATGAACCCCTCGGCAAGCCACAGTCTGGGGTTTGTGAGAGCAAAAGCAGCAAATGACAGAGGCTGAGAGGGCTGAGAACAGGGTGAAGTTTCCTGTTTCAGCTGCACACCACAGATAGATTGACATTCTGTACCTGTCTCTTGCCTGGCCATCACAACTGCTTTGGTTCACAAGGACAGCAGTACAAGATGATACTCCTTCTTCTCCCAAGTGCTTGTCTCCTTCTCCCATGGGCTGAGGCTGGTGAGTATGCATAGATGGGATTCAGACAAGGACATGCAAGGCCAGAAATGGAGGCTGAGCAGGAAATCTGGTTCCTGCCTTGCCCTCTCCTATCTCTACACTCCTACTTTCTACTCTCCTCTCTCAGTTCAGACTGTGCCTGAAACCAGTGATGCCTTCAGGTACCAGAGCAGTGTCCTTTGACAGAATTTTAGTCACCCAGAGTCTGGTGTGGTTAATCATCCCCAGGCAGTGCTGCTTCTCCTCCTCTCCACTGTGCATCAGCAATGCTTTGAACAGGCCTAGGAAGGCAAGGTTTTGGTGTCATTGGCATATGGACATTAGAGGATGAGCCTCTCTCCTCATGCAGCAACAAACTGGAGGGGAAATAGCAGCATATGTGATAGCAACACTTCTCATCACTCTTTCAGGAAGGATCATTGGTGGAAGGGAAGCTGAGCCCCATTCCAGGCCCTACATGGCTTATCTAAGAATTCAGCATGTAATAGGCGATAAGACACGCACTTCTAGCTGTGGAGGGTTCCTGATTCAGCCAGATGCTGTGCTCTCAGCAGCTCACTGTGTGCATGGAAAACGGTAAGACTGTCTTTCTTCCAGGTGTGATTGTGTCAAGTCTCACATGGTCCTGAAGAGCCTCAGTCTTGGTTTGGCAGAGCAGGACCTCTGTGAGCTGAGCTATGCTCTGTGAGCTACAGGAATTTTCTGCCAGGGCCTGTGTGCCCCTGGGAAAGGAATGCTCAGCAGGGATCTCCGGGTCCATGGTTCCTTTCATAGCTCAGAGCTCAGTGCCTCCCATTCCCTACTTCCCCTTTGTCTTTAGACCTCTGTCAGGGTGTGGTGGGGAACCCTCAGTCCAATTGTGGCAGAAACAGAGGTTACAGAGGGCAATTTGCTGAGAACTCCCTCCAGCCACTTGCTATGGGGGCTGTGCTGCTGTCATCAGTGCAGCTGGAACACATTGGTGTTTCCTGGCAGGAAAGTGAATATCACTGTGATCCTGGGAGCCCACAACATAAATAGTCAAGAACCAACCCAGCAGCAGTTCCATGTTGGCCACTGGGCCATCCATCCTGACTATTCAGATGAAACCTATCTAAATGACATCATGCTGCTCAAGGTATGCTCTCACACATCCTTGCTGTCCAAGGGATCTCCTCATGGGTTTGCCTCACCTGGCCAAAGCCATGAACTGTTCCCATTCCTTTGCCAGCTCTAACCCCATGTTCTCTGTGCCTGATAGCTGCAGCCCAAGGCCAAGTGGACTAAGTATGTGCAACCTATCTGCGGGCCAAGGCACAACCAAGATGTGAAACCAGGAACCACATGTGAAGTGTCTGGCTGGGGCCAAACATCTGTGACAGGGGATAAGACTGATGTGATGAGGGTGGTGGACCTGAAGGTGCAGGAGGACAAGGTGTGTGAGTGCTCTTTCACACGATACAGACATCAGTCTATGATCTGTGCTGGTGAGGAGCGTGGCAGAAAATCAACTTCCAAGGTAAGTGTTTTGGACTCCAAGCTTGGGAGTAGACATTCAGGTTGGTTCTTAAGTGATGGTGGAAGGCTGCTGGAATGAACCAGATTCTTCAGGATGATGTGCTGAGGCTCCTTGCAGGAGCTCTGAAGCTGATGTGCTCCCAGAACTGGGTGCAGTTGCCCAACCCTCAGTATCATTTATCTTTGTACTTCCTCGGGGATATTCTACCCAGCCCAGCCAGTGCCCCAGCAGGCTGCAGAGCTTGTGTCAATCCTCCATCATATTCTTACTGGCACAGCTCAGACATTCACCTGTGTCCAGTGGGAATAGGTTCTAAGACTGTACTCTTCCTTTCAGGGAATGAAGGCAACTTTAGAATCTCACATAGCCTTCAGGTCTGAATTGCTTCATGGATGGGCTTAGAGGAGCAGTGAGGCAGCTACAAACCCTGCAGAACTGGGTCTGGAGGGAGGGAGGTGCTCGGAAGAAGAGGGTTCTCCACACAGAGAGGGAAGAGGAACAGTTTGTTCCTTAGGGCAGGGAGAGCTGTGGTATGGCATGTCTGATGCTTCCCAATCTTTTTACCTCACAGGGTGATTCTGGTGGCCCATTAATCTGCAATGGGATGCCTCATGGCATTGTTTCTCATGGACTTCAAAAAAGTCTCTTCCCTGAAGTATTTACCAGAGTCTCCTATTTTGAACGCTGGATACATAAACAGCTGCAGAAGTTTGAGCTCCAAGAACTCCCCGACTCCTCTGACTAAAATGCTCAGTGTCTCTTCTCCACAGTGCATCAAGCATCTGTTGATGCTCTGAAGTTTCTAGGGGCAGCTGAAATAGCCAGCGATGTCCCCTCAGGTTTCTGCACTCAGGAATGTCTCCATGCCAAGAAGAAAATGCAGGTCCCAAGTACACAGATTCCCATTATACCCTTCCTCCCACTGCTGCCCAACAGTGCTTACTCCTGCTCTACTTTCTGGCCATCTATAAAAGCCTGTTCGGACTTGCTTGTGTGTGGAGTCTTCTTGGGAATTGGATGCATGGGAATGAGGAGGTGACACTTTTTGGGAGGGCCTGAGCGAGATTGTAGGTAGCACACGCACTACAGGTTTCCACTGCAGTCCCGGGAGAGCTCGGACAGCACAGCACTGACCAGACCCCAGCGCACCGCCCGAA